AAAGTAATTACATAGCCCGGTCAACTCAAATCTGGTAAGAAGGCTACAACATTGATTAGATATTTGACCTAAATCTCTGTTGTATTATTCTCCTGAGAAGGTTTTTGTGTCTTTGCTGCTCAAAGCCTTTTCAAATCCTTCTCTTACAGTTTGGAGTTCTGAAAGCAATCAGTTTGGCTAGTCATAAAAAGTCTGAATTTCTCTACTTTCTCTCTTTTTATTTTTCTTCTACACTGGTCAGTTTTTCCCCAAGCTAACCTTTCCTCCCCCATACCCTCACCTTCTAAAATGAAGCCGTAGTGCTGGATACACACTTCTAACATTCTGTTTTTCAATCTGTTTCCCTAGAGCAACAAACTCATTAGGCATATGCTCCTGCTTCCAAGTTATAGCAGATGGCACTTGTACCATCACATAACTGTGGATTAAAGATCTCCACTTTTCTATTATCTGATATTATTTTCTCCATCACCTGGCACCCAACTTCTAGGCCAGGGCCCGTTCTTATTTATTTTTTTAATTCTCATAACATTTTAGTTCAGATTGCCAATTACTGTATCAGTCAACATTTTTCAGGAAAACAGAAAAGATTTTAGGTATTTTGAGGCAGAGATTGTTTATTATAGGGTTTAAGCATGATTTATTTCACTTAGCATAATCCCCTACAGTTCCACCCATGTTCTTGCAAAGAGCAAGAGTTTATTTTTTTTAATAGCTGAGTAGTATTCCATTGTGTCTATGTACCTCATCTTCCTTTAAATTAGTGTTTTTGCATTCTCCAGATAGACACCTAGAGGTGGAATTACTGGTTGTGTGGGAGATTCAGTTTTAATATTTTGAGAAATCTCTACTGTTGTCCACAGGGGCTGGTTAGTCTACATTCTTACCAAAGTGAACAACAATTACTTCCCCCCTACATCCTCACCAACACTTATTTCTGTTCTTTTGTTATGGTCCATTATCACAACTGTAAGATGGCAGCTCATTGTTCTTTTGATTTGCATTGCTCTGACACTAAATGATGAATAACATTTTTTGTGTGTGCCTATTGGCTTTTTTTGTGGTTTTTTTTTTTTTTTTTTGAGAAGTGCCTATTTGGCTCTTCAGCTCATATTTTGATTGGGTTATTTTCTTTTTGTTACATTGTGTGAGTCCTTTGTAGATCTTGGATATCAGCCTTTTGTCTGATATATGGTGTGCAGGTATTTTCTCCCATTCGTAGGTTGTCTTTTTGTTTTAGTGATGGTTTCTTTTGCTGTGTGGAAGCTTTTGAGTTTGATATAGACTCAGTTGTTTATATTCTCTTTTGTTTTTCTTGCTGTTGGAGATGAATCCACAAAGACATCACTGAAGCCTATGTCATAGAGTATTTTGCCTGTTTTCTTCTTTGTATTTTATTCTTGCCGGTCTTATGTCCAAGTCTTTTATCTATATTGAGTTAATTTTTGTGTATTGTATGAGATAGTGGTCTAGTTTTATTATATTTTCATGTAGTTATACAGTTTTCCCAATACCATTTACTAAAGAGACCATCCTTTATCCAGTGTATGGCTTGGCTCCCTTGTTGTAGATCAACTTTCCATATACACGTGGGGTTATTTCTAGGTTTTCAATTCTATTCCATTTGTCTGTGTGTCTGTTTTTATTCCAGTAGCATACTATTTTGATTATTATAGTTTATAGCTTATAGTTTTCATTGATTTATTATTTCAGTAAGTTTTTCAGTGCATTCTTTTGGGTTTTCCATATATATTATCATGTTGTCTCTGTTTTGCTTTGTAGTGAACACTGTCAATTCCTAAAAATTAAAATAGAAACTAGTTAAATTGGATATTTACTTAACTAGTTATTTACTTAACTCTTTGCTCAGAACACAAAAAAATGTAAGCTGTTTATTACTGCTAATAAAAGATTCCCTTTTGAGTGGGAATAATCAGCAAAATTTCCCTTCTTTCGTCACATATCCTCACACTGGATTGTTTATAAGATTATTACATTCTCTTTTTGTCATGTACTTACAATTCAACTTTAGTGGTCAAGATTTGATAGTAAGGGGACCTCCCCTGGTGGCGCAGGCGGTTGAGTGCCGCGCTGTGAAGCTGTCCACAACCTTTTCAGTGCCGGTTTGATTCCCGGCTGGCCAGGGAGATGCCCACATGGTGTGGCAGACCTCTTCTGTCTCGCCTGCTGCTCCCCTTAGCAGTATCTTCAGTCTGTCTGCCTGTTCCATTCCCCGCTCTGTCTCTGGTGAATTCTCTCACCCTCCCGCATCTTTGGCCTGTACCCCAGTTCTTGTATAAATGAATAAATCTTTAAAAAAAATTTGACATAAGTGGACTTTCTTGTAATTAGAATATGACCTTGTATCAGGAGAAAGCTTGAAATTGCTCTCTTTGACATAAGCAGGTTTTTGTTTGCAAGATAAACTCAATTCCCATTGCCATAACTGGCAGCCAGATTGCTAGGGCAGTTTGGTGACTGTTGTACTTTTCCTACAGGAATCATGTAACTGTACAGCTGTGGAAACACACATTTACTCCCCCATTGTCGGTTTTCTGACAGCTTTTTCCATAGAGCAGTTTGGAGAGTGGAGAGCACTGTTTCTAAGACAGAGAAGTGTTTTCACACCTGAAGTGTAATTTCACACCTTGTGTTTCTCAGCAGATAAGTGCATAAAATAACACATCAAACAGGAATAGAAAAAGATCAACATTGAAAGAAAACTGCAGGTTGTAATTTGTTTCCTATCTTACAATGCTCTTGCAGAGAACAGTAAATTACAGAGATCTAGGTTTACACTTTTAAAAGTTTGACTGGTTGTTAGGTGGGAAAGTGAGCAGTAAACACTTTCAGCTTTCAGCCTGCATTGAATAGAATGTACAGAATGACAGAATTTGGAAAACACCCTAAGTTTAGATTTTTAAGAAAGAATTGAACACCTATAAGTTAATGGTTAATGAAATTAAAAGTCAAGATTTTAATAGTGATTTTAATAAAAATATAAATGTCTTATGAGATGTTTTTAAATGATCCATTCATAAATTTTAGCAAAGTTGTAGACTCTGCCAGTAAAATTTAGATATTTTCTTTCCTCTCTGTAAATGACTAAACATATGATGCTACTAGTCCCCATATTATAGCATTCCAGTGCAGGTATTCTAAAATGAGGGGTGTGGCTTTATTTTGTAAGTTTGAAAACTTGAGACCAAAAGAAAAAGTGAGTTGAGCTTCCTGGCTAGTCATGAGAATTCATTACAAAATATTTACTATTTAGTGAATGTCTGCTGCATGTTAGACACTAGGTTAGACATCAGGGGTACAATGATAAAGAAGGAAGTCCCTTTTTTATTCACCATTGAGGACCTAACAGTCTTACAGACAAGTAAACAGGCACTGATAATACTGGGTGTGAAGTGCAAGAAGGACTAAAACTAAGTTCTGATGGAGTCCACAGAGGGGTTATTGGAGTTAGAGCAGTGGGGAAGAAGAAGTGGTAAATAAAAATTCCTGGATAAAGTGATGTTCAAACCGAACTGATGAATAGAAGCCCTATGAAGGTTGATATCATTTGGGATAGAAGGGCTCTATATCTTGTGCAGAAGTGAAAGGGAGAGAGAACAAGGGTGAATTGAAGGGATGAAGGTAATTCGTCTAGGGTAATGGGGTGCAGTGCATCAAGGCAAAGGTGGCAAAACTGTTTATTTCCCAATGAGGCTGGGAAATAAAGAGGGTCAGAGTATGTTATCTGTACTGAATAATTTTGTTTTTATCCTGAGACTAATGGGAAGTACTGAAGACTTCAATTTATTTTTAGGTTGAGTGACATGACTAGGACTATATTTCATAAGGCTCTCTGACTGAGATTGGGTAATCTAGTGACTGGAGTTTGAAGATGAAACTTGCAGTGATGCAAGTGAGAGGTGTTTATGATAGTCAAGTACATTGGGGATGGAAAGAAGCAGGAGGATTTGGGAGATACTTAGGAAGTAGATCAACAGAACTTGGTGATTGAATGGCTGGACTGGGTGAGGAAGCAAGTCTTAACAAAAATATAGTTTGGATTTCTAATTTGGGATATTTAATGAATGATTCTACCATTCACAGAGGTGGGGAGCACTAGAGCAGCAAGTTTTTAAGAGTCGGAAACATATTGCAAGTGAGATGGGGCAAAGAAATATATTCAGTTAAATCTTGAGCTTGTGAGAGAACTTCAGGCAGAAATATAGATTTAGTAGTTGACACTGAAGCCAGATTTGGTAGTCATCTTTAAGTAGTTGATATGGTGCGAAGAGTACATTGGGAGTCAGAAGACTCTTTCACCCAGAGATAAAACAGAAATTTGACTATGAAGAGAGAAAACAAACATAGAGCAAAATGTATACATTTATCTTGTTATGTAAATTAAATATGGATGAAGAACTATGCATGTCAACAAACACCATTGCACATATGCCTACTAGCTTCGTCCATGTTGAATTCTTTTTCTTTTTTTAATGATTATTTGTGCATACAAGAACTGGGGTACAGGCCAGAGATATGGGGGATGAGAGGATTCACCAGAGACAGAGTGGGGAACAGAACAGGCAGACTGACTGAAATGCATTGCTGAGGAGAGCAGCAGGCAAGACAGGAGGGGTCTGCTGCACCATATGGACTCCCTGGCTGGGGATCAAACTCATGCTACAGAGGCTGCCTACAGCTTCACAGTGCTGTGCTTAGCTTCACAGTGCTGTGCTTAACCCCTTGTGCCACCAAGCAGGCCCCATGTTGAATTTCTAATGAATGTTATCAAGAGGCCCAGTAGTAAGTCACATGAATCATTTAGCATCAAGGTAATAACCCTTTTCCTTAATAACTCAGATAAGATGTGTTAGTCCTACAGCAAGTACAGGCTTAAGTGGTACACTAAAGAGGAGAAAAATCTACCCATATAAATATAATGACTAAACTAGCAAAACAGAAAGCATCAATGATTTCTCATTTACACTGTTTTTTCTTAGATACATACGGAAAACTCTTTCTACTCAATTCTGTGGGTCAAGAGATGTCCCGCTGCAAGACATCCATCCGACGTGCTCAGCCCAATCCTGTCTACAAGGAGACCTTTGTTTTCCAGGTGGCTCTTTTCCAGCTCTCTGATGTCACATTGATGATTTCCATTTATAACAGGCGTACTATGAAGCGTAAAGAGATGATTGGTTGGATTGCTCTTGGCCAAAACAGTAGTGGAGAGGAGGAACAAGACCACTGGGAAGAAATGAAGGAGACCAAAGGTCAGCAGATCTGCAGATGGCACGCCTTGCTTGAGTCCTAGGTGTGCTAACAGGTATTTGTGATCTCCATGCACCCTGGTGGCTCATGTTGTCAACAACTGATGCTGACTCAGCACATACTTTTTAAAGTCAGGTTTTCAAATAGGCATTGGAGTCTACTAGCTCCTAGGACATTCTTGGAGATAACTTAAATTTCTCAAAAGTTTGATTTGGGCTTAATTGTTGTAATAAAAAAAAAACAACCATGCATACATAGTCAAGTATATTCTATGGAAAATGTTACCATAGTTGTGAACAGTGATGATGAGTTAGTTTGTGTTCATAAGTTATGGAGTTTTGGTTCAGGCTATGGAATGAAGCTTCTCCTGCTGTCTCTGTTCACTTGGAGAGTACCCTGAGATTTTCAGGGAGCTTTTAAATGTTACTATTTGCAGCCATTTATTTGTGTGAATCAGACTTTAATTATATGTGCAAAGAATTCTTAAATACAGAAATGAATCAGATGTCCAGGCTCATAGAAGAATGTGATTACCATTAATAATACCCTACTTCATTTTTTCTCTTTATCAAAAAATGCACTCATTTATTTACCTAACAAATAATGTTATAAATTTGCACTCAAAAAACAAATTGCATTAATTAAATACCTCTTTGTTTGTCTCACTTATATGTTGTGATTTCCTATGAGATTTGATTAGATGAATCTTTTTGAAGCTAAAATGGAGTTTAACAAATACTGTTGAGAGATGACTGTCTCCTTTTGAATATGTAAGATTTTGAAGTTGTAACTTTTAAGGTTTTTATGCTGTTTTTTCTTAAATTATTACAGAATGAGAAGAAAACCAAAAAATCTATGTCATGGATTTATTGATTTTTCTGAATCTAGTGTTCTTTGAGATACTTTTTCTATATTGAATGATGAGGCTCATATTTTGAATGTACTCCTGCATGTGAACCATACTCTTTTTATGCAATATTTTTTCATCAGTAGAGTGTAGTATATTGTACACAGTGGGTCTTTAATAAATATTGATTTGATTAACTCTTAGAAATAAACATGATATAATACCTGTGAATGAAGAAATATTTTCAGCTTGTACGGAATGACACTACCTTCTCCTTTGAGCATTGGAAGTGCCTCTAATTGTCATTTCTCATGGGGACATCTATCAGCCACTACTTCCATTCTGGGCTTTTGCCCTTCAGAACACTGGGCTTACATGGTTATGAGCATGAAATTTTACTTCTAACCAACTTTTACATATTTGTGCAATGCATGATTTTTTTCTTTTTGTTAGAGCTGAGTCCATAATTTTAATTACTTTAAATGGGCAGTGATTTTTTTTTTTTTTTAAAAGGGAAGGAGCATGTGTATGTGTGACACTGCTCCATGTACAGGTCCCTGAGCAATGGCTCAGTCACTTATTTTTAGCTTTTCTGTTTCATTGTTGACTTTCTGCTGTCTGTGGGAAGAGTGATAGATAGTGATGGATGTGTACAGTCAAAAACGCATAACTCCTCCTCATCTCTTCATTCTGTCAGATTGTAAACGTAGGCTGTAACATTTGAGGAGCATATTTATTCCATACAGTGTGGAATGGTTATCCTGACAAGACCAGACAAGGGCGCAGGGTAACTCTACTATGATTTCTAATTCTAACTTTTGAAAGAATTGCTTTCATATGCAAGAATCAGAATGAGCAAAATCAATTCATAATTTTTCAGGGCATGGAGGTTTTATAGATAACACTTCAGTTATTGGGAATAAGTAATAAAACCATGCTCCTTTAGGTTTTTGCTCTACCTGCCCCTGGAAGACCTCAAAGTGCTTCTCTGACATGATATCCATGAACTGCTGAGTGGTCTTCGCAGTGTGACTGTGTCCTCAAGTAGAACTGAGTGCGATTGATGAAATCGTGGCACAAAGAGTTGGCTTTTCACATCCTTACTCCCTTTATGCGCCTGTGTTTAAAGGGAAACAGAGCAGCCGTGTGATGCTTTCCTTTATGCAGTAACATAAAAGCAGCATTCACATAAAAATTTACATCTGAAAAAAAGCTGCATATATTGGACAGCCCTGGGTCCTCCCTCATATTTTCCCCATCTATGCTGTTCTGCACTCCTTGACTCCCATGTACCGAAGAATCACCTGTGCTTCATTTCCTGCTGCCCTAACCCACCCATCTTTCAGGGTATTTGGCTGGCATGTGGACAGTATCCTTGTGTGTTTGATCTGCTTTCTAGTAGTCTGCTTATAATAGTTTTACAGGGATGTGCAGCATTTTAAAGGGAAGGGATACTTGCTACTCGCCATGGAGGAGGCATGTGCATCTTGAATGGGCATCATCATATTCCTTAAAACTGATGGTATAAATATAAAATGCTAATGACAAGAGACATTAAAATATGAAGCTGAATGTTTTTACATTAATTTCAGGTTCTGGTTTAGTGAGATCTCTGAGTTTTGTGCACTTAAACTCCCTTATTTTCTTGGCAAAGTCTAGATGCAATGCATTTAACATGTTTTTCACTCACGCTTTTATATCTACATTTGCTTTTCAAAGGAGTTATGAAAGATAATTAGTTGGATCTGCAGTGAAAGGACTGTTTTGTCTGTTTTATCTAGCTAATAAATAATACCTCACAGGGACATTGGAAATTGAAGGAGCACCCAGGTTTGTTGCTTGTGTGGTTCTCTCCATGGATTTTCCTGAAGAGAATGCTTTTTAACTAATATTGTGGAAGGTAAATAATGTGCTAGGTTTATGGGACTCTGCTTTATAGTGTGCCTTCTTTCCTGGCATGGGTTTACACTGAATTCACAAGTGCTGGTTTCACCAATCCCAGTGGCGGCTCTTGTGCTCCTGACCCCCTCTCGCTATTGTTGATTTGTTAAATGGGCCATTCACCAGGCAGCCTGGCACCTGCTCTCAATTCTGTCTCCTTCGCTGGCTCCCAGTGTGACGCACGTTTGTTTTGGACCCTGCTTTTGCTGATATTGCATAACTGGGAGAGGAACTCTTGCCTTTCTTAACAGAATTTGTAATTCCTTTGCATCTATTTTGCTTGGCATTCTACCTGCATACAATTTGAGAAAGAATCCTCACCACGATGGCAAGAGGAACCGCGGGTAGCGCTGCGTTGTCGTTCACTTTCCGCACCATTCACCCTGCTCCTCCTTCAAAGACTGTAGCTGAATGACCTCAGTTGTTGATATTCTCTGTCATACTAGGTGTCACAGCAAGGCTGAAACACAGCCTCTGCCTTTGTAACTTGTAACTTTCACAATATTTTGCAAATTATTATTATTGGTCAATCATAGTCTTGATCAACCACTGTGCTTTACATCCTCGCTTTACTAAATGGTCTTCTCTACGAACCAAAACTCTTTGCAAGTAAAGTGTTAATTAAGGAAAAACTACCACCAGGCTAACTGACAGTGTTTCTCTGATGGCCAATGAATTAATTACATTAATGTCTCAGTATGGACACTGACCCCTACTTTCCCCCAAGTCTGGTGGCCCTTTTGCAGGACAGGACACCGCACATTAAGATTGGAAATGTGAGCAGGAAAGCATTATTTGTAGATGACATAAAGCCAAGAAGAGGCAAATACTTTAATAATAAAAAGCAGGACTAGAAAATACTTGTAATACTTTTTTTTTTTTACCTTTGAGGGAACTGTGGCTAAAAGATATTCCATTCTATCTTGTCCTCAATAAAAGTAAATGAAAGATAATCCTGAGATGGCTAAAGCATTTTTATTAAAAAATAATTCAGTTGTTTCTAAAGTAAAAAGCTAAACAAAACTATAAAAAAATCACATAGTGTGTGCATGGAAGGATTAGAGAACAGATAAGTACCTGGATACTTGTAGCAACTGCCAGCATGTATCCCAGAAGAGTAATTAATAAGTGGAAGACATTTCAGGTTGAGTAGCTGTCCTCTTTTCACACTTGTGGAATTCTGGAAAATCTTTACAGATGGCAGAAATGAAACTGCTCTAACATGGCTTGGAGAGGTTGGCACAGGCTGTTGCGGTCTGAGTCTGGGTTTGGATGGAGCTCGGCTCACTGTGTGGCCTTAAGAAAATAAGTCAGTCTGTGTCCCTGTTTCTTGAACTGGAAAATGAAAATAATGCCTACCTCATAAGGTTTTTAGTTTTTATTTTAAAGAAGACATTGAGGAAATAACAGCATAGACCCTGGTATATCATAAGCGTTTAATATTGTCCCTCACAATCATGGTTAAAAAAAGAAAAAATCATTGAAGCTTTGCTTCTCTTTCCAATGAAAAGCAGAAACTATTTCCAGATACCTTAAAAAGGACAAGCTCATGAAACTACTCTGATTTTGTAAAGGAAGGAAGTTTTTTTTGGAGGGGCAATCTAAACAGAGAAAAGCCAGGCATGTGGAGGAAACTGAGTCAGTACATCCCAATAGCCAAATATGTGTCTTTTCTTCCCTTCATTTAGAGGGGTGCTGGTGTACACCTCTTGATAGAGGGTTTTCCTCAGCCCCAGCTCTTCTCTACTATTCATCCATGAGCAGAACACCTGTTCCCACTAAGAGCTGGTCCAGATGCCAACTTGAGTAGTTATTTAAACTTTGATTTGAAAAGGTACACTTCTGTGGCACTTTTAAGAAACATAACATTATATAGGGTCTGTATCACATATTCTCATTATGTCCTCGCAGGCAAAAAGTTTTAAATATCTAATAATATAGCTATCAAAACTTATCTACTAGACTGGAAAGTTCTGTTCTGGACCAGTTATTTATCACTGTTTCCCTTAAGAGGTTAACATGAAAGAACTTCTGTCAGAGCTGATACTTCTTTTCAAAAATAGATTTTTAAGAACTAGAAGAAAGCATGCTCAGTTCCTCTTAAGTATTCAACCCTTGAGGAAATGGGAGCATTTCCTGAGAATTAGGAAAAATCTTGCAGACATTCGATTTGGAGAAGTGGATGGCAACCAACTGCCTCAAGTTGACTGTAGCCAGGTGCTGGGCACCAGTGGGTGCTTCCTGTGGGGTGGGGAGGCGTGAGGGTACATTCCCAACATTGCCGCAATGCTGACTCAAGTTCCTGGCTTCCAAAATCAAGAGAAACATGAAAAATTGGGGAATAGTCACTTAACTAGGAGTTTTCATTGGACTAATTCAACATGGAAAGAAATTAAAGGATTGTGAAGGAGTGGAGTGATTTCTTGTGACAATCATCAAGAGTGAAGAGCATGCTTACCAAGAGGTTGGCTCTCTCCTCCTCTTCATCTTGTGAACAGAATCCCAGCTTCTTCCTAGATCAAGTCAGGAGGGCTTAACTTAGATATAACAAGAATTGTATGATGGTGGTTTTGCATTAACTCAGAATGTAGCCATTGGTATTCTTTGTGTTGAGCCCCAGGCTATTTGGGTCAGCAGAGGATTTAAAATCTTTCTGCAGGGCTGTGACTACACATTGAAGCAGTTAGTCATCATAGTACAAACAGCAATGCTTACCAACAATTGTTAAATTAGTCTAATTACATGCCATAAAAAGTGCAGTTCCTTGTTATGGGTTATTGGGAGGTGAAACATATTGGTTGCACTTATTGGAGAGAGTGTGTCAGAAGCCTGGCACTTAAAGTGAGGCTTGGTCACCTGGAAGGGGGGAATTGCCATGGGAGATCACAGAATTGTCCCCATGGAAGTCTTTTAAAATAGAAAAGTGTGCACGAGGTGTGGGCTCTGTGTAAAGGAGAAAAGGAGACCTCCCAGGAAGATAACTCATAAAATTTCTTCTAAGTGTAATGTGTATGTAACCCACAAACAGGATCAATAGTCAAAGGTTAGGCCTCTTCTCTTCCCTGTTAGACTTTTTTTCCACGTTGATTATTCTCTTCATCACAGAAGGCTTTCCCTGGGGAGCCCGGAACGGCTATGTTTCGGTGACTTTGGGGATGCCCGCGGGCTCCAAGTGAATTTCCTCTCCTATGGTGCTTTCACTGCTTTTGTTTCCCTTGGGTCACAAAGCAGGATCCTAGACACATAGACAATAATCAGCTGTATTTATAGTCACTCTGGAACCTGTGAAACAGCTTGAGGCTTTATAGAACGAACTCCGAGGCCGTTGTGGAGGTGTGTGGATGTTCTTAGAATAAAACCACTGCTTAATATATCTAACTGCTCTCCAGTGCTCACTCGTGGCTGCCTGCAGGTGTCTCAATGGGAGTTCTCACTTCATGCCTTTGAGCCACTGTCCTCCCAATTCTACCTTCCAGAAGATAAGGCTGCTTTCCCATTTGGTACCCCCTTATTTATGCATTGTTTTTGTTTGCTTCATTTTCCACTTAAATATTTACTTGTTTTTTAAAATTGCCTTTATACAAAATTTACTTATTCAAAAGACATCAAGTATGTTATATCCCAGAATCTAGGCTAGGGCCTGGAGAATAGCAGATGAATAACATACTTTGAGGTCAACACCATTTTTGTTTCTTAATAGTCCTTTAAAAACAACAACAGCAACTAGATTCTGATAAAAGCTGCAGGTAAAGAATAAGGTCTTTTATTATCCCTTAAATTATTTTTGGGTCAATATATTTTGTAATGGTCTCTTTCCCCAGAATTGAAAGGAAATGAACTTAAGGAAATTAGAAGTTATTATTTTGCCTTTCCTTAAGAAATATACTGTGTCAGTCTATACTTCTCTTCAAAATAAATGGGTATGTCTAATGTCTGAGGGAAGAATGGCAGCCACCATCCTAGTGATGAAAGGAGTTCTAGCATGAAGTAGAAGCTAGGTACTTACTATTTTCTACTTTTATTATTGAATGTTGAATGGCTTTTGCAAAGCAGTAAGTTAGATCCTGGAATATTAGATCTGTACAAACAAGCATGATACAATTTTTATAAGCTCTGTGTTTTAGTGGTTGGAATGCCTTTTGCTTTAGAAAGAGTGAACTGGAGACAGTAGTTAGCAGGTAAAGGGGTGATGGTATGAACAAAAATGCCTGCTTACCCCTCTATTCCTCTTGATTAAACGTTGTCTTAGATATTATAAACTAATATCCCTAAAGAATGACTTAACATCACTATCAGGAGTGTCTTTACCTGGGGGATGGAATTCTAATTCTTTTCTAGTCTCAATTTTAAATCAGTTTGAATCTAACTCTTAATTATTTCAAGTTTATAATAGGAGATAACAGGAGTTTTTCCCAATAGATTTAATGCTTATAATTCTTGTCATTGTAATAACCTATATCAAATATCTATGGAACACATCTCAATCCATGTAAGTTAAGTCAGAATCTTCTGTGACCTAACATTTTTTACTGAAGACATCCCTTTAGTGTTGCCTGGTGGATGGCACCTAATAATAAAGTTCACATCTTGTATGTGGTAAAGCCCTTGATATCTGGGAAAAGGTAGCGAAGTGAATGACTACCCAAACAAAACTCTGATGGTGAGGAACATGTATATTAAGTGAACAGTATTTCCACTTGTTATTCTGTATACTAGAATCAATTCTAGGGTGTCATATGTCTCAAGAATTTCCTTGTGAAAACCCTATAACTAGCACCGTAGGTAAAGCTGACTAATTTTTCCCTATTTCCTTGTGTGGCGTGATAATCTTTAAGTCACAGCTACACCAAATGATAACATGGTCTTTTACTGTGCATCATCCTAATGCAGCTACAAATTAAATTTTATTATTACAAAGTAGAAAGTCATTTCCAGAATTAAAAATTTTAATTTTATTGCAGATTATTGTTTTGTTAGTGAATAGGAATTAGTACTTGCATACTTTACTGTGACTGAAACATTTCTGCAGCAATGTTTATGGGAGTAAGATTTGACTTCCATTTTCAGGAAAAAGCATCATGATCTTTGGGATCTATTTACTCTTCAAAAAGTAAATAAACAATGATTAGGTTCACAATCAAAATAAGCAGAAAATATTGAGTGTTGCCTTCTAGTCCCAGTGCCCTGACTTGCACCCCTTCATTTCCCCACACCATTGACTTGACATCTGGGTGGGAGCTTGATGAACCCACAATGGTGACATCATTATCACCCGAAGTCCATCGTTTGCATTAGGGCTCACTCTTGGTGATCATTACCCCAAGCCCTCTGCACTCTCCATCTTCATTCCCCCACCCCATAATCCTTGGCAACCAGTGATCTTTTTATTGTTTCCATAGTTTTGCCTTTTTCAGAATGTCATATGGTTGGAATCATATAGAATATAGATTTTTCAGATTGGCTTCTCCTTGTCTTTTCATGGTTCGATAGCTCATTTGTTTTTAGCATTGAATAATGTCCCATTGTCTGAATGTATCAGTTTATTATCTGTCTTATTTCTAGTTTTAATTGCTATGGTATGTTTTTCAATGTGCATATTCTCAAGAAAAACAGATGGATTAATTGATATGATTCATCAACTATAATTTAGCAGCTTCCAATCTGGAGTCAGTTCCACCTATGATACTGGACTGGTTTTACATTTGAGTGGAATATTCATGTGAACTAGCACAGTCTTTCATAATTTATGTTAACCTATCTAAGCTTTCCCCCTCTCTGTTGGAATCTCAACAAAGTTCTGATGGCCATGTGATGATGATCTCCAAATTTAGCAACTCTATAGTGTTATCTCTTGTGGAAAAATGATTTAAATATACATTGATTAAAAAGTGCTAATTATGTTATTACTGATTCATGATAGAAAACCACCTTCTGTTACTAGTGTATGTGACTTTACATTTACCGCTGGTGCCAAAAGAAAGGAAGCTTTGTGATCACACACTGTCATAGCCAATTAATTGTACAAATAAACTGAAAGTGGTGTCTAAGCATGTGGGTCATACAGCAACTCTACATTATAAATGGAAGGATGACCCATGACAATGCGCAGACTAAATGAGCAAGTGTGGATGTTGGAGGGACAGTGTTGGTAGTCACTTTGGGTGAATGAGGATGAGCAAGATGCAGTAAAATTGTTGACATTTATATGTGGACTGACTGCCTTTTGTGTTATAGCTGCAGTGACCTGTGGTACCTAGCATTACTGCAGAGATGAGTGTATGGCTGTGGAAAAAAATATTGGTTTAAATGAGAATTAATGAGGCTGATAGTCTAGTAACAGGTCTTCCCCTAATTAGTTCTAAAATGAATGTCAAGTCACAGGTTCTTCAGGCCTTTATTTTGCATCCATTTTGTACCAAGGTCATAGGTATGACAAGGTAACAGATGGGAAAACATTTTGCAGAAGAGTTTTTGAGGACTTAAAGGTATTTAATTATTTTTATGTTAAAATCAAGTCAGTTCTTTATGTTACTGTAGGAAAGGAATCCACACTTTCAGGTCTTTGCCAACCATTGTGCTTTATTCATACATCAGTAATTTGACTAAAAGTTACATTTGGAATGTCATTTTTGTCTCTGTGAAGATAGGTTTTAATTCTTTTGTTCAGACCCCCCAACCATAGAACAAATTACAAATCCATCTTTTCAGCAGGCTTTCCAGTCCTTGAGTTGAACACATACCTTTCTTCTTTAGAATAAATTAACTTTGAGTACAAGAGAAATATTACATTGAATAGCATTTTTTTTTCATAAAGTAGGATTTTAATACAGTATTGGTAAAATGTATCTCACCCCCCAAAAGGCCTTTCAGTCTCCATTATTATTCTTCTTTTGAAGAATCTATCTTTTCCATCCCTTCCCTCTTAAGTGATTTTTCTCATAATCATTTTCTTCCTGAGTACCATTTATTATCTCACAGAAAAAAAAAAGCAGAGACTTAAAAAATCATTTTCAAGGTACATCCAAGATTTCATAGCAATATTTTGTGTTCACAGTGCAAGATAAATCTGACTCTTTCTTGATTTTTTGGTCTTCATATGGCATCCGAAACAGTTGTTCGCATTCACACATTTATGTTCCACCATATGCATACTGTGTGCAACTCTGTTGTTTTAAAATATTTTATTGGTTCTCCTTTTTATCTCAACTTTTGATGGGTGTCCTTGAAGAACTTGCATGAAAAAAATGTAAATGTGAATGATTCATTCATTTTGAACATATGTAACTATTTTGGGGAAATCTTACCCTACATGGAGCATCCTGTTTTTACCGAGGAGCGTGATTTGTACTTCTGTTCTAATCACAGCTGGATGCTGGGAATTATTAATATTGCAAACCTGTACTTTTTGTATTCTATGTTTACTTTAATGAGTTATTTATGTGTACTTGACTGTTCTGAATTTTTGGTGGTTGTGAAGGTGGTCAGCAGTTTTATGAATTTCACTTGTGCAGACAGCTCAATGTAACATGGTTTAGTATAAAACCCAGTTGTTCTTCAGATTTCTAAGTCACTAGAAGTCATTCTTGGGCAAAATCATTGTTCAAGGTCAGATTTGTCAAGTGTAAGGTAGGAGCTTCCCAAACCTCTCCCACTGCTTCCTGGGCATTTGCAGGCCTGGTTGCTGTCTATTTCTTCCTTGCAAGTTTTCCAGCAGGGAATCCCTGGGTGGTCCAGAGATTCAAGAAAGAAACATAAAGCCTCCTCCAAAGAGTTGAGCCTTTTTTTTTTTTTTTTTTTTTAAAGCAACTTCTGAAAATCTCCAGAGCATTTCATGGAAGTGTCCTTGTGTTTCTCGCCATATGACTTACTGACTTCTGCTGTCTCCTCTTTAAGAAGCATGAATGTATCTTCTTGCTGTTATCAGAGCAAACAGCTATAAAATGCAATGGCCAACCTGTTTCTAAAATTACTTTTACCAGTAACTAATCAGCATGTGGGAAAAGGTTTGGAAAATTTTTAAATTGTTACACTTAAAATCCAGAGTACCTCTCTACCTTTTGTAATGTTCAAAATTTCATAATGCTGGTTTCAGTGTGTCACTGTTGCACTGTTATGTCTTGTGTTTTAACTGGGCAAGTCAGTGAAATAAACTCCTGTTAGAAAAACCCTTTGAAACTATGTTAGAACATAAAAAGTTGTTTACCTGTGATAAAGAATAAGTACATGATTAGAAAAATTATACTGTTTTTCTTGTGCAAATAACGCTTAAGGCAGTTCGGTCTCACAGTGATGTTGGAAGCATATTTTATGCAGCCTAAAAACTATTTCTGTATTAGATATTTAAATGCATGAGGATACATTCTAATTGCTTTTTGTTTAAAACAGAAACATAGAAGAAGCATTAGTCCCAGTTTGTACAAAATGTCTACTGCAACTGAACTCATGGTAGTTTGAAGCTGAAAATCATTCCTTTTTGTAAAACTGCTGCTACTGGTTTTATCAATAAAGTTTAAGCAGATGGCTTATATGTATATGTGTGAAATTTTTTATGTTAAAAAAAGATACAGTTTTGTAGCATCAACATGCAAATTTTATGGGCTCAAATGATATTGCTTATTTTAGTATATACAAAACCCATTAACTCCAAAACCATACCAACTACAGACATAGATGTTAGAACTTGAAGTATTATATTTATGATCCAGCTAAATTATTTTGGTTTTAGGATGTCATAGGCTTTCATGGTGGACACGTATACAAATCAACTCCAATGCTAGCTTAAATGTTGAATTTAAAATAAGAATATTGGACAAGTAAGGAGCCATGTGACTATAAATATCATTTGAAATAACTAAATCACATCTGAAAAGTGTTCTGAGAAGGCAAAAAATGTCAGTATTTGTGCACTTAAGTGTATATAATAACTCATCACTGAGAATTGTCAGGGTCTTTCCCTTCTATGTCCACCCAGTTCTAACAAGTTTATATGGCAGAGATGCAGGAGGCAGTAGAGAGAACAGGGGCTCTAATCAGAGGCCTTCATAGCAGTAAACAAATGACTGACATGCCTCAGAAACAAATCAGAAAAATTTTGTTCCTGGGAAAATCCATTTTTATCATGTTTGTCTACTAGTTGCTTATTAGTTGAGGTAATAATACTGCTATAATAAACAATCCTAAATATCAGTGAGAGCACAAAAAGGTTTATTTCTCCATAATCTATTTTTGCTCATGCTGCTTTCTTTCTTAGCATCTTAGGGATTGAAGCCCAGCCTTAGTGACGCTGAAGAAATATTTTGCTATGCAAATGAAGGAAGAAGAAAAGACATAAGGATCAAATGTGTGTTTGAGTTGGGCTTAGAGGTGGCCATGTTCATTTCTGTTCGATTCCATTGTCCAGAACTAATAACATAAATCCGCTTTAAGAAGGCTGGGAATTGTAGTTTATTTGTATGTATAGAAAAATGCATCAGTTGTTTGAGTACCTCCCAGGTAGTATCTAACACATTCACTGAAAAAAAAAAAAAATCAAATGTTGTAGTAGTAGTGATTACTTAAGAATTTGCTAACTTGCAAGCTCATTTGGTGTTTAAGTTCTTAACACTCAGTGGTGGCATTACAACATTATGGACCAATTAAGACTTGTAGTAATTGCTCACCTTAGTCCACAGCATCTCCACACTTTCATGAGAAGGACAGCTGCTATTAGAAATGAAGATCATTTGACTTTACGTTTCCAAGGGCACCCCCAAGAGCTTTGAGCTGGGAGCCTGAGCAAGGTTGAGCATTTCCACATGTGGATGTGCACTAGTAAATATGTACACATGTAACATATTGAAGACACCAAAGCAGATAATATAAATGAGCAAAGCACAATATTGCCGAGGGAACAGATTTTCCAGTATTTTAATCTTAGAATAAACCATCTGCAGAACCGAAAACTTGACAAATGATTGCTATCTTCTGACATTGCTTCAAAAGAGACTTAGCCATCTTTAAATGTTAAAATTATTGAGACAACCATTTATGACTCTGGTTCTTATCTTTTGTAGTGATTTAAAAAAATCATAACTAACTTGACTAACATTTTATTGATGAATCAAATCACATTATGTCATTATGTGTCTTATAAGCTTCATAGTCACTTTACAGTTTCTCAAGAGTTTCTCCAGGGACATTTAGAGACATGGTTCAAGCAGCAGCTTCAGTGACAATTCAGAGTTTTGATGAATTTTAATGTGCATTCTACTACATAATAAAACATCTGATTCTTTTTTAGCAAACAGATAAGAAGCAGGAGACAGGATTAGTATTACATCTGTGGCTGTCTCAACAAGGGACAAGATTCATTGGTGAGATGAGAATTCAGATGAATGCTAAGGTAGATTAAATGGTATTTTGATAGTTAATTTTAAAATCTAAAATTGCTTTTTGAGAGACTTGCTCTAATCACTTGAAGGAGAATTGAAGAATTTATATAAAATTATATCTGCATTCATAGTCCAGGAAGATTAAACTCATACCTATGTTCTATTTCTGGCTTTACCACCAAACAGTTCTCATTTCGAGATTACTTAAACCTTTCATTTACGTCTTCAAATGTCTTTTCCTTGAGGGTTGTCCCAGACAAAGAGGGATTTGGCAATTATTTGGTGAATTATATTGACAACAACAAAGAAGATTTTCTCATCTGTTCCACTAAAGTATACTGTAAGTGCTACCCATATTAGTCAAGTTAGCTAGTGTTTTTATAAATAAATATTTTGTTATTGTTGTTCCATAGAGATGAAACACTTAACAATGGAGGTTGCTTTTCACCTGAAGAGGAGGAGTATTTTAAGGAAATATGAAAGGTGAGTTCAGAGAATTCAAACGCCTCCAGGGAGAGAAAGGAAATGAGGAAAATATATAAAGGACTGTTAGGTTATTTCTCATTGTACTTAAAATCCAAGTCCTGACCTTTATAAGATGCTTTGAGAAGGGACAGACATTGCTGCATCAACATAATATCTCATTATGGGCAGAAAATTATCTGGATAATAGACTTTTGTCCTCTCCTCTACTTGATTACAAAACAGCAACTAGTGACTGCACCCAAGGCCTGTGTAATTTCACTGACAGTTACATGGCTAAGGTGAGAAGAGGGACATCGAGCCAGGTAGGGGGGCTCCACCTACTCCCATGCTCCATCCACTCACTAAGCTTTTGATTTACTAGGCACTGTGTGCTAGGTGCTGGGGACACAATATTAACAAAGTGGAACTGGAGTAAAACCTGGTGTGAGGATTCATGTGAAATGGAGTCAGCAGGTTGATTGGGGACTGTAATTAGTTGTTTAATCTAGTGAGTGGAGATTACAAGGAGAAGCCATTAAGAGGAAGACACATTTAAACTGAAACTTGAAGGATGAGTAGGAATAAACCAGGTGAAAGAGGGGTGTGTTGAGGAAGAAGAAATAGCATCTACAAAGTATATGAGATAAATGAGAATCTTTCCCATTCAAGGAAACTGAAAAACATCCAGCATGCAGGACCCTTAGGAGCAAACAGGAAAACCTGAGATAAACTAGCCAAAAAGATAAGGTGGATTGAGATGTCAACAACTTTCTTCCCTAACTTTGAATAAGAAGTAGCAGCAATGTAATTCTGGCTTGACCATCTCCTAGCTTTGAAGTGGACCTTTCTCAAAGTCCCCTTTCATACCTCACAGTTAAAATTGTACCATCAGATCTTCAACCTACCTTGGCTTGTTACTACTTTTTCCAGGCAGATTTTAAGTTATCAACTTTTTTCCCTAGCTTGATTTAGGTAGAATTGAAAAAATTTTAAGGTTTTTAATGTATACAAAGTGAAGACTTGATGGACATAGGTATAATGAAAGGAGACCCACTCACAATGAAACTAATTAACACAAGATTTCAGCATTATAAATCTTAATTATAAATTATAAATCTTAGGGTTTATAACATTAGCAAATTGCTAACTAAATTTGTCATAACTCAGTCACAGTATTGCTAAATTGGTACTGGGTGCCTGAGAGTACAGGGGTCCTTGGGATTTGTAGGGCCGCTTTGTGTATTTCCTTCAGCCTCACAGAATGTCTGCCACTGTTGGAGTCAACATGAACCTTGCATGGCAGCCTGCCCTGGCTCTGAAGACAGCAACTTCTCTTTTTAATTGAATCCCAGGGGTGCTCTCTTCCTTCCAGGCCCTGGTCTGACCCCATAAGAGATCAGGCAAGTGGTGTATCTCCTTCAATGAGAATTGTCTCTAAAGAATAGCTTTGGGCAAATTTTCTCTACTAGGTTTGTCATCTTTCGATTTTAAATTTGGTTTACTGACTACCCATTTTACCCACATTGATAGCCTCATCAGCTCCCCCTCCCAGAAATAACCACCCCATTGAACAATAGCAACAACAAGCAGTGGTTAAAAATAAAAATATAACTTAAATATCAGAAATGATACAATATTTTGAGTGAAATTATACTAACATGTAAATGACTGAAACATGCATACTTTTCCAGTCTCCTTTGTGAAGACTTTTGTGTATTTTTATTTTAAAGACATTTGCATATTAGCCTGAGGTTTTAATTAACCATTGGATCAAAATGAAGACTTTCTAATTGAATAAAGGACAGTTTTCCGAAATCTTAGACACCCTAACAATCAGCAGCTACAGTGCCAGGAGAAATTAGATGCTAGTCTGGTTTTCATGGATTAGTATTTTCCCCTTCAAAATCTATCAACCGCTCAAACCTGCAGATACAAACAGGAACTTGATGGGAAAACAGTTTCAGAGAACAGAAGATCCTATACTCCTCACGGCTCTGCCTCACCCCAGGTCACAGGTACCCTCCTGCATCTCCACTCATCAGAGCCCTGTCCTAAGGCAAGACCATCCTAGCAAAAGTCTTGGAGTCTAAAAGGCACAGGCCAAGTCTTACTGCTTCCACAGCTATTCGAAGTGCCACCCACCCCACTCCTGTCCTCAAATTCAACCTCCAACAGGGAACTCCTAGCCAGGGGCTACAGCAATAGACTTTGCCCCCGCTCAGGCTGCCCAGGAGAGAGCCGCAGCGCTCACCTACCCCCAGCTTCCCGCTCTTAGGGACCCAACTTAGGGGTGAGCACAGGACCCCCTTATTTGGGACTCTTTGTTCGCCAATCCTTCCAGGTTCCCGCTCTCAAACCTCGCTCCCAGCAGCCCCCGCTAGCGCACCCGACCTACAGGAAAGTTGCTCCTGAGCTGCGGAGGGGCGTCATCGCCTCCTAGCAACGCTCCTAGCAACCGGGTAACATCTGCTCCCTCTGGTCCAATGCGAGCCGAGAACAGCTAAGCACCCGCCTCGCGTTCGGAACCCGAGCGAAAGGCGCTTCAGAGACTGGAGCGACAGACCTGCAGGAGCCTGGGTTGCCCGCTGAGCTGCAGTTGCCGCTGCTTCCCAGCCGCCGCTGCCAGCGCGGGTCTGAAGAGTGACAGCGCTGCAAAATCTGGAGGGAGCATCGAACTCCGCGCCTTTAGGAAACAGGTGCATGCGCCAAACGCCTGGTGAGTAGACCCAGCTCACAAGGTACTTCTGGACTCATCCATCTAGGTACCTTCCTCTGAGGCTCAGCAAAGACTCTTTCATCATCGAGGCTGAGCATAGGGACATGTTTGGGATCCCACCCCAGCCCTCCCTAGTTATTGAAAAGTGGGGTGCTGGTGACTCCTGGTAGCCTGATTTGATTTTTTTAAATCTTGAGATTGGTTCTGGAGGATTCCCCTGGCCGCTGCTGTTAGGTTTGTTGGGAAGTTTTCAGCCCTTTTTGTTTTTCCTTAGACTTAGATGCTAATGTGCGCTAGGAGATCTGGAAGCTGTAAGCACCATAGAAAGTCTGTGGCTAAGGTTAAAACGACACAGTATAATCTTGACTAATTGAATCAATACATATGGAGAGTGACAGTCTTTTTAGGTCCTGCTCTGGAAAAGGTCCATTTGGCCAGGAGCAGCCCTTCAATGTTACTCAACCTCCTGAAAAGTAACCATAGTAACTCACCTCTTTTAATGGGATCCTCCTCATTGGCTGCCTATCTTCCTTTGGAAAGCTCATCTCTCTAAATATAGAAGATGATGAGATCTGTAAGCATACATCTATGCAGAAAGGGTACAGTTAAACATGGTCCTTTAAAGAAAAAAACATTTTCACAGAAAAAGTACCATTTGGTTATTTCAAATCTTGTGAGAAATAGTGTGTATTTCAGAGAATGATTGAGTTAATCTGTTTTGAGTTAACTGCTGGATTGTTAACTTTAGAAGGAATATTTTCTGAAATTATCCAAGACCTGGCATTTAAGAACAAATTAAGTACATCTGATTCTGAATAAAATCAATCTACAGATAATCTTAAAATAATCATCTTGTAAATAATTAGTGAGGTCAGTTATTCAGTTACTTCCAAATTTCTTAGGATAGTTAAGGTTCCTTATGTTTAAAATTAAATCTGGGAGACGTTAAAGTGTGTTTATGTGTTGGAAGGTTTATCTGTTTAATTACCTATTCATCTATCTGGTCCAGATTAACCCCACCTCAAACATCTTAGTGGCTTCCTAGTGCATGCTTTCTATTGACTTGATAACCAATTCAAGTCTGGGCAGTATTTTGATGTTATTTGTGAATGTCTCCTTGTTTCAAAATCTCAGGTAACCATTCATGAGCCTGAGGCTGTGAGAAATGCTCTCTGTGCAAAGGGGAACTCTCACCAGATATTCTGAAGCTCTCCTAGAAATACATTTTTCAGATTGATTCAGCATTACCAGGTAATCACTAGCTGAAAAGAAATTACTGTTTAAATATGTATCCAGAAAAATAAATGCTAATGTAGCATTACCATAACTTACAAGATCAATATAAGGGGTTGTTTATATAGATGGTTGCTGGGTAGAAGTTAATAGAGGTTTTCTGTAGAAAGGACATTTGTGGGCTGGCATATTTTCCTCTCTAAAGCCCGTGTGAATAGGATGGACCAAATTAGGTAACCTGGCTCAGGGAACATATCAAGTGGGAGCTTTTTGGGTGCAGAGGTGCATGTCTGAATGAAGGAAATGAAGAGAACTCTCCAAGTAGCAAAAAAAGATTGTGCTGGTGCTTAACATTTCATTTACATTAAGGTCATGATGATAGAAACTACTAGTGTTAAGCATTTCTAACTCAATTTTCAAAACAGAATGAAGTATTTTAATGAGTGCTCAGCCCCCAGTGTTGTGTAACTTTCACATGCACCGAGCTATCCATGTGCAGGTCCTGTAGGTAAACAGCCGAGCAAACTACAATTAAATTCATAAAGATATACCAGGCTTCTTTTCTTCCCTCTACCTCCCTTTATGAAAATAATAGATTGGATAAACATTTTCAGAAACTTCTTTGAAAATTTCCTCTGATCTGGTTTTTATGAATATTAATAGGCTTTAAAAGTACCACTCTTTATAATTACTTACTGAAATACCTAAAGTTTAATTAATTTAAGGGTTAAAGAGGATCATTTGAGCTATTAAAATGTTGGCTTCATTTGTCTTCAGCACCACCAACCCTCCTGTGTTCCTCCATCATTAGCTACTATGTTTTATGGTGAAAAACAAATCCTAGGAGACTAGTAAGATCTATTGTCATCTACCATGAGATAGTACATAGTATTCTATTCATGTTATCAATCTGAGGAAAGTTGGAGTAAAGTGACCACAATGTTGGTTCATGTATATGCATTAATCTTATGCATTAGCAATTTATACACATCCTATCACTTATGTAATATGCATAGAAGTTTGAAATCATTCAGAGCCCTTTAATTTATATGAATCAGACTGCCCTTTCATTGAGACCACCATTAAAATAAAAAAGGTCAAGTGAAGAATGGTCTTAAAATTCTAATTTTGACACTATCATGAATGCATAATATGCAGAGTACATACAGTGCATGAATATATCTGCTTCATTTTATTCATCAGAATGTACTATAGTATTTAACTTTAAATAAAATAATCAAATGTATTATTATAATATAAGCATCAATCCTAGAGATATTGGTGGATCCTTGGAATGTGTAATAAAATTCCAACAATTTGTAGTTAAGGATCTAGTTGCCCTTATCATTTGAACACCAGCAATATTTGTAGGTATCATGGGTTATAAAGAGGGGGGTTGCACTAAGGACAGTAAGGCTGAGATCAAGCAGGTTATAGCTGAAACCAAGTTCTAATTTCTGTTTTTCCTTATAGGCTTTATTTGAAAGATTTTAAGTGTTCCATGCTCAATTTTATGTCGTTATTTTCGTGAGATTTAGAAAATGTTTTGAAATAGGGAACTATTGAAAGATTTGATCAAGATGCTGAGGCCCTTTCCTCCACATCTGGACTCTACACTGAGGACTTATTCATGCCAGCTGGCTTTCGTTGTCAAAACACCAACATCCCAGCAATAGCGCTAAAGCCAAGGTGTAAGCAATTCAGATTGCTCTGTTTGCCAAACAGAATGCTTCAGAAACCCCAAAAAAGCTCAAGTAAAATAATGATTTCAGAAGGAGTAAATTGACCACAATCACTCAGCACTAAAACTGAAAAATAAGTATACCTTCAGGTTTTAGGAAGAGCTCTTATCTTTCACTCTCCCACTCTCAAGTTGAATAAGCTGGCTGTCTAAACAGTGTCAATACCTTGTTTTAATATTTTGAGTTTTTAATCTTAACAATTATTAATTTTTTTTCCTGATTACATGACTACAATTACACAATCAGCCTAATAATACAGCCATCTGGTTTACAGAAGTAATTCTCATTGGAGGTGATAAAGGATATTAATGTATAGTGCTAAAGTTCTGCTAAAGGTTCTATTCAGCATGTAATATAGTTTTAATTTTAGAAAATAAAAATATTCATATTAAAATTAGGAAAAGTGCAACAAAAAATCTTGCCTGCTAGAGATACAAGAATCTTCTAAGTACCAGTGATGCTTACAAGGGGCAGAGCAACAGGCTTGAAGTGGGATATACATCCCCCTACAGTGGTGCATCAGTGGATATATTATTTTACAAATGATTATTAAAAGATAAGAAACAGCAAGAAAATTTGGGGATCTTAAAAAGAGAAATCAGTCTCAAAAAGCATAGTGTTAAGCTCGTTCTCAGGCACTTTGTGGTTCTGACCACAAATATATCTGACATGGGGATGAGAGCATTTATTAACTTAAATTCCATTCCTGAGTTTGAACACAATGACTTTTAATGAAACACATACAGTTCTTTAGAAAATGGGTATCCTGTGAATGAAGAATATTTCACTGCTAGAGCATCTTCAGGTGGTGACACAGATCAGGCACCATCACCCAGCCCCAGAGCACATTCAGATATATTCTTAGGGAGTGAAGTTGTTGATTAGTGCCATTAGATTTTCTACAACCTTTCTGTGATACCTGGCAAATGTGCCCGACACTGGCGATACACCCAAATCCAATGGTGTATCAAAGTGGAAGACGATGCATGTAGATTCATTACTTTCTGAAAGACAATTGCTTCCCACCTATTAGAATCACAAACCCTCTTTTCTAAGCAACAGACCTGGTATATAAGGAAGTTATAACATCTCCCTTGATATTTTTGATGGTCATTTCTTGGAATCTATGTTTAGCAATTTGATTGCTTTGACATTTTTTTTCCTGATTTATTCTCACATACCAAGGTGAAGGGGGGTCTTTATAGTAAGTTGGCTCAGATTATGGGAGAAGTCAGGGTTCGGTGTAGCATCTACAGTAATTTCATGATCACGTGGCTGGTGCTATTCCATGATGTCCTTTTTACCTCAGAGCCCATCACTAGTGGAATAGGAGAGGTTTGTGGGACTGGTGGTATTTTATGGAACCTAGTGGAACCTAGTGCTAGCCAATGCTGCTGGTCTTTTGAGAAACCTTCCTAGTTCACCAGCTGTCAGTAACTCTGGAAGTTCCTAAGAAAGTCTTCCTGGAGTTACAGGAAATATTAAACTGCCTGTAGACTCAATCTTGTGTTTGGGTTGGGTGATAAATCTGAAGAAATAGATTATTCCATTGATTCATAGCTAAAAGCTGGTATTGTATTCTACTCCATAGAGCAAATTATCCAGAAAAGTACTGGGTAAGGGGTTATGAGGGCTAAGATTGCTGGACTATTGCTAGACATCAGCAAAGCTAACAGTTTACAGAAGGCACAGCATCATGGCCTTGAAGGTTGGCACCTGTCTACTTTCTTGGACACACTCAGAATGTACCCTGTGCTTCCCTCTAAAGAGAGGACAGTGTCCTACATACAGATTGTACTGCTGAGCAGGATGTATATTTGTGATTTAAACAATGAGCTCACTGCCATACAAATACCTTACATTTACTGAGCAGAAAATACGTGAATATGGGACAGTCACTGTAGTTTTTAAACATCATCTTATTTAATTCACATATAATTCAATAAGTTGGATATTGTTTTCCTGTTTAATTCATGAGAAAACCCAAGCTCCTCGAGGTTAACTACTTTACTTGAAGTCACTAAGTAAATGAACTGTAGAACTGGGGTTTGAAATTGGTACTGTGGGCCAGCACTAGAAGTCATATGAAGTAATTTAAGTCAGTTAGCAAGACTGTAGCACATGGGGAACAGTGACTGGTGAGACAACTCGATGAAAAACAAAAGTGGTCATGGCCTTTAAGGCAGCATGTCCATTAGCTTTGCTACCAACAAAGCATCATTTATATAGAAGGGACACATACTTTTTAAGGCTCAAGCCAGGCTAACACCATACAAAGGGAAAAGAGTGAGGCATGGATGCCAAGGTCTATGACTTGCTTGTGATGTGAGGCATTTTCCATCTGAGACTAGAACCCACCTCATTCACCCCATCTCCCAAACTCTCCTTTTGTCTGTGGCTACAGATACACATGTCTAAAATGATGGTCTCCACTCTGCTTCTGCAGTATTTTGATTAATGTGTCACGGGGAAGAAAATGAAAACCTTACCCAAATCAAGATCCCTTAAACTCCTAGTCACTTCATCCTCTCTTGGACTGTTTCACAGTCATGGACAATGAATGGATGACACTGACAGAAGTTGTTCTTTCATTGTTGTCTGTTCTCTCAAAGTGTTTGTAAATTAATTTGCTGATGATCTTTCCTTAATGTACTGCCCCTGGGTCATGTACCAAATGAAATCACTCGCACAATAATAGAATTTAGTTGTCTGGAGGCAGAAGCAGAACAATAAGGAAGAGTATTTGAGCAATTGTTTGTAATTATATTTAAACATTTATTTGAAGATATACGTGTAAATTGTACTGCCAGAACCCTAATGACAAGGACGGTCATTCTGTTCTGTGACTTAATTTGTTGCTTGTTGAAATTTTACCCTCTCAAGTGCATTGAGTCCCTTACAGGTATTTCATGTGCCTAGAAGTTAGGGCATTAAAGAAAATTTGAATGTTCAAGTCAGCATTAGCCATCTTACTTTCAGAGATAAATATAAGTTCAGTATACTTCAGTTTTATAATCTTTATTTGTTTTCAGAGCACAGAGCATTGAGTATGAAGACAAAGTGGTCTTTTTTTCTTTTTTAAAAAAGTTTTTTCATATCTATTTCATCATCTGCTTTATTTGAATCACAGGTTAGGTTGAGTTTGGCTTCCTAGTTGCAGGAGGATGATATAAACAAATTTACTTACACATTTACTGGATTATAACATGTACATGTCTTTATATTCAGAGTAACTTTAACTCTCCATCTGGTTATTTCAAAACAATTCATATTTCCTTCATCCATATGTAAGAACAGAGACAATAAATCCAGAAATGTTTTCTTGGAGTCTTTATGGCACGTGTACTATATATTTTTAACTTGGCCATTTGAAAGAGTCTTCCACTATCTTTTAACTCTCTAATTATAACACAGTCCCTCTGGGAGGTAGGGTAGTGAAAGAGTTTTAGTGTCAGAGCTAGGAGACCAGTCTGGCATCTGCTTCCACGTGATAGACCTATTGGCAATAATAAGAAGTAAAATTTGATTGAGTGCTTACTATATGCCGGGCACAGAGCCAGACACTTTTCGTGAATTACTTCAATGATCCTTCGTGTCAGTGTTATTTCTATCTCCACTTTATAAATGAGATTTATAGCAAGTTGATATGATTTCCTCACTGTCACATAAAAGAAGTATCAGAGTTGGAATTCAAATCCTCTTTCTTATGATTTCAGAACCCAAACTGAGCCACACAATATGTTGTAAACCATTGAACCTCTCTGGGCTATAGTTTCTCTTCTGTAAACCTTGGAGATTAAATCAGGTCATCAAAAGTTTCCAACTCTGATTTGTTTGAGTTCTAGTCCAGCCAATAAGCCAGATGTAGGAACTTGTGTTTGCTATATATTTTAGTCTCAAAGTGGCTAAAAGCTTCTCCAAGATTTGATGCTGAAAACATTGCAAATAGCTAAACAGCCTGCAAGGAGGTGATTGTCAAACCGATACCAGCTGTGAAAGCTTTTCAGCATTTCAATAACCCACGGGGGTGTTTTTAAGAGCAATAAACTAAGTGACTGAATGTGTTGCTCTTGGTGATGAGACTCAGATCTAGACCCCTGAGAATTTACTCTGTATTTTCATGATCTGATTTGTTCTATATCAGATAATTTCTGTACCTTAGCCTAATTGCTTGAATACAGTCAAGCAGTCTTCATGAACCTTGAGATATTTAGTATAATTTTTTGGTTTCAATCTATACTAATATCTTCCCCAGAGCATCACTTAGTTTATGTGACCATTTGGTTCTCTAAGCTGCCACCAGCCCTTACTTGTGCCATTCATTAAAGGGTTTTTAATTGGCCATAAATGCTGTAGACACTTTGGAAAAGAAAATGAGCAGACATTAAAAAAATTTTATGTATATATATTTAGTCATCTCTCTATAACTTTCCATCATTATCTATCTATGTATCTATCTATGTATCTATGTATCTATGTATCTATGTATCTATGTATCTATGTATCTATCTATCTATCTATCTATCTATCTATCTATCTATCTATCTATCTATATTTCACCTATCTGTAATCACTCTTCTCATTTCCAAGTCTTTCCTGCACTGCAGTAATTCAATGGATGTTGACTAAAAAAGAAAACAAGAAACAGTGACCTGTCTAACCATAATGCTAACTACATCAGTGATATTTCTTAATGTGAACCTAGGAATTTATGTGGAGAAGTGACCTCATTCTCTTTTGCTGCTTAGTTAAAAGGCACTCTGGCTTTGTCCATGAGGCTAAGGCAGCTAAGCTGATGAAGCCAATGTTACAGTAGCAATGACAACAAAATTCAATCAGGCCAATTGCTTGGCATTCTAATGATAAGGCAATCAGTCGATTGGCTGGACATTCTGCTTTTTAACTTGGCATGTGGCGTGCTACCACCACTGCTGCCAAATCTACAACATAGATGTGCTCAAAATGTAGACCCCAGACCTGCAGCACAGGTTTATCTGGAAATTTGTTAGAAATGGAAATTCTCTGCTTGAGCCCAGATCTACTAACTTAGAAACTCTGGGTTTGGGACCCAGAAATATGGGTTTTAGGATGGCCCCAACATTTTGAAATCTGTGAAAACTCCATATCAACTGAGTTTTGTTATTGCATTCAGAGATTGTACACATAGAGTAGTGGCTCTGTGTGTACCTTTATCTCGGACATTCTCAGTGGTTTCAAATTTTTATGAAATTCCATCCTTACAAAACATGCTGAATCTAATTTAAGGCTCAGTTGGGGTTATCATACACAGTGATACCAGTAAAAATTTGGAATGTTTTAGTGTGATTTTTGTAACCTCTCCTACAGGTTTAGGTAAACCATCCAGCTACAAAAATCCAGAGGAAGCATTAGAAAGAGGGCACCCAGCTGGAGGAGAGACTAGAAGAGGCACGTTCTCAAAGAGCACATTTTTAATACTTAAGGTTTAAAACATTTATGGCCTTCAAAAATGAACATCACATATCTTAACCTTAAATTTTTTTAACCAACACATTAATAAATTACTTACATCAATCAAATGGTTTCAATAACTAGACATATTTGAGGGTGTGAACTAAGGGTAGAATAGATGATGTTGTTTAAAGATCTTTCTGGCCTGGCACCCTGAGATTGAATGAATACTAAATGGACTCAACATGTATTCTAAATTCCTTCAATGTTTTTACTAGGAACTACCTGTCTTTAAGGTTGAACTTGCCTTTTTTCTGTAATCTGAGCACCACCTAGTGTACACACTAGGAACTCTCTTTAAAACAAACCATTTCTTTCCTGAAAATTGGCTTTTAGAATGCTGTCCTTCCTCCCTTAAGCAAGTCAGAAACCTCCAGTGCAATCATATATTTCACAAGCGTGAACAAAGATTTCAGATATTGTAGTAAAGTCAAGTTTTCTGGTCATAATATTACTTAAAATTTCCGTCTACTTTTGATTACCCTCCTTTAAGTGATATGTTATGGGGATGGTTAAACCTGATGATATCATTGGGTCTGTGTATAGAAGCACAAAGTTATTTCCTTAAGGTATAGCTGGGCCATTAAATATTTTGCACTTGATTTGATTAACCCAGTAACATTAAATGCCTTCTGTAAATCAGGCAGCTTCATTAAAAGAATGATGAAAAATAACATCTCTTTCCACCATTCAATGGCTTGGAATTAAGTAGATTATTGGTAAGTATTTTATTTCTGAGGGACTAAATAAGGAAATAAATATAAACCTCCAATCTAGGATATCTATGAATGGTGGCATTTTTCTGTAAAAAGGCTTTTTTAGGGCCTCCCCTGGTGGAGCAGCGGTTGAGTGTTGGGCTGCGAGGCTGCCCGCAGCCTCTGCAGCGCCGGTTCGTTCCCCGGCCACCGGCGAGGGTCCCACAAAAAAAAAAAAAAAAAGGCTTTTTTAGCTGTAATACAATAGCCATTCACTGCTTTGCCATGTTTCTTAGTGAATAAAGAAAGAATAATAATATCTGGAGTTACCAATTTATTTTTACAAGTTAGACTTGTAGAATACTCTTTGCCACAATAAAATCTGACTTTTCTTCAATTATTTTATTTTGTTTAGCTTATCCAACAAAAGTATTAACATATTCATTAACAACGTCGAAAGTAGCCTACTTTAAGAGAAAATATGCAGAAGAAGAAGATTTACATCAAGATTACCATGGGTATTTTCCAAAAGTAAGGATCTACTTATTTTTTTGTCATTTGCCAAAGACTCTAGATTTCATTTTTCTAAGATGGAAATTTAATGTTGTGTTTGCTTTCAGCACCTGATATTGCCTGAGGACAGGACTTGCATTCTCAAACTTTCTCTGGAGAAGCTCAGGTTTCTTGAAGACCCAGAAACCTACTTAAGAAGGTCTGTGTTAATTAACAATTTGCTGAGGAAGATACATCTAGAGACGGAGAAAGAGAGCTATGAATACTTTAAAGAAGCTCCCTGTTATAAGACTGCTTATTCTGATACAAGAAAACGGCTGAAGTTTATGGTACAGGAATGCTGTTCTCAGTCTCTCTATTATGAAGAGCTGCATTCGTATCATATTGTGCCTTATGCTTCGGAGAATGCCATTTATGGAATGGGCTACACTGGCAGCCACTTGGAGCAAAATTCTCAGTTGCTTATTTATAAAATGAATTAAAGTAATTGTTAAGTCCATTGATACTTTGTTTCTAAATGCCTGAACTGTTTATAGTGAAGATGTTAACCTAAGGCACTAATTAACAGTGCGCTGAGATCACAGACGGAATGCATGCTGACCTGAGTGGAGAAAGCCATGGCTATCACTCAGCAGTCCTTAATATAGCAAGTCAAATTGAAAATATATCCACATATTATACAGCAGCAAATAAATGCTTTAGGAGCAAAAACTTTTTTTTTTAAAGATCAGGAATGTAGGAGGAGACTTACATCAAGTTCTTATATAGATTTAAACATTTCAAGTCCCAAATTTTCAAATTCTGCCACTTTGAGTGGAAAGTAACCAAAAAAAAAAAAAAAAAGCAACAGATTAAATTGATAATGTCTTATCTCTGAGGATGAAATTCAGAGCAAATTTAATTTTCTTGAATGATGAGGAGAAGGGTAGGCTCTTTCTGAAATGCTTTGGCTTATCAAGCATTGTGCCAAATTATTGTCTGACACCATTCTCCTTTCTCACGAGTGGAGCTCAAGGCAGCAAGCACACCAAGCCCACTGCTGAGTGTAATGAGCAGACTGCCACAAACAGACCCATTTGACTTTTTTTTTTTTTTTTGGCTTGCTAGACTTTCTTCTAAACATGAAATTTAATAAAATAGTCTTGCAAATGGGTTTCTTGGTAAATTCTAGGGGTTGTTGAAAATGTGTGGTGGGCCTTTAGTTAAAAATTTATTTGTAATGTCATTTTTATAGACTGTGAAGCTCAGGAAAAAGGCAGGTGAAAATTGCTTATAGTAGGTTGGTCATTTGAAAAATTTTCTTCTCACAAATGGGTGAGAGCAACAGAAATTCTACATGATGTTATTTCTTCTTCTAAAAGTGTATTTAGGGCTGCCTGGGTGAAACTGCACTGATTTTTTGTATAGTAGTTGATCATTCACTATTTGACAAAATGTTTTAAATTCCTTTGGTGGTGAAGTTTAGATAAGTCCCTGTATTTTGCACTTTGAAAGATAATTACTTAACAAGTTGGGTAGATTCCTGGAATTGTTTGAAGTGGTTCTTTGAGGTTTGAGTGAGATGTCTGATTTCAATGTCCAGAGTCGTGACCTATGAAGCATATTATTTAAAGACTTGACATTAATGGAGAAAACATATTGGGAAAACTAGGTGCCAAAGGTATATTCAAGAAAATACCAAAGACCAAAGACAAGTGTTAGAGCAACTATGAGAATGAAGAATCTAAAATAAGGATTGCACATGACTGCTAAGGAGTTGTGGAATGATTCCCTTTCTAATGCGCTTTCAGAACACTTTATACATGATGATGACCAAGGGCACTGCTTTAAAAGAAGATAGTATTGGTTTTCAATGATCATATGCCTTTGCAAATTTGACAATGGTGACCTGTCGACATTCTAGCTCCCCAAGTTGAGCACCATCTTGGAGCCAAGAAGGTCCTGCTCTGTTCCAGAGAATTTTGTTTTTAGCATTGATTCTCTATTGGCTTCCTCTAATGAATCATTAGGGTGACTACCATGGATGTGTTGAGTATCAACAATATTGGTGCCCCAATTAGCATGCAATGTTGAAGACGACTTAACTATATAGTTGATGAGAGTATCAGATTTATATTTAATTATTCAGTCAGCATTAGGAAAAAATACTTAGGCTTTAAAATAAATAAATGAACTGGAAAATTTTAATTGTGACTACTTTTTAAAGGCAACTTGGTGTGAATGGTTAGTGAGTTTTGAAGTATGCATATTACTGTTTAAAAATTAATTTAAGGGGAAAATTCGGCACCAAAGTTCAAAAGTTTTTTTACTACTTAAAAATACCTTATTTTTTTTCAGAGTACTTCTTTTAAAATGCAGATTTCTTAAACACTAGGGATATTAACTGAATTAATTTGTCCAAATTTGATAGGATAATTACACTATCATATGATTTAAAAATAGAATTAGCTCTCTAATAGTTTTAAGTCTTTTACTGAAAGGAACGTTTGGCTTGGTTTAGAACAGTATCTCTAAGAGAAACAGCTGTGATGATAGAAGTCTCTTAAAATGCCACAGGTTGAAATTGTATAAGGCTAGAAAGGCACATACTTTGGAATAGGAAGGAGGAAAATGAAAAAAAAAAAAAAAAAAGATGTGTGAAATTGCAATTTTTTTTGGTCAGATATTTTAAACAAAGCAAGAACTTCTGGGCCAGTAACTGGTGATAGTTTATTTTATTTGGTGACATCTTCATCTGAGCTCTCTGTTCTATAGTAATTCATATATAGGGGGGAAATTGTCTTAGAAACAAATGGTATTTGTGAATAAGCTTTTTTTAAAAACGTGCTGATTTCAAAACAGTTTATTTAAAAATATCCTTTAGGACATTTCAAATTTTTTTTCCAATGAACAATTCATATGTAAGTAGTTGACTAATGTTATCTTGACTTAAAAAAATTATCTGAATGATGTAAACTAGTATGAGTTAACCAATGAGATTGGTATCATTTTTCCCATGGCAAACTGATAGGTAGATCCTGCATAGATGTGTTCTTTTTATATCATCCCACATGCTATTATGGGAGACGCAAAAAAGTGGGGTACCAGTTACTACTGTTTTGAAACTGGGCATCCTCTCTCTAATAACAGAAACCATCCTTAGCATGAGAGATGTGGGGTGGAAAATCTGAGTGCCTTTGGTAATGCTGATCACTTCTGTGGTATCCATATAGTCTAAAGACCTAGTAAAAAAGAAAAATTTAAAAAAATAAGAAGAATGAAGAGCATAGGAAGGAGGTAGGGAAGGAGACAGAGGAATAAGGAATAGGATTAGTAAGTGAAAGAGAAAGTTGTATATGCTATTGGGCTGCTTGCTTGCTATACTCAATTTTGCTTACCTGTGTCAGGTGTACACCTCAAAACTCGAAATCTATAATATGTTGATCTTTTCTTTTTTTCACCAATGATGACTAGATTACATTCAGCAAAAGTGTTATTTAAAATGTGGTATTACTGTGAAATATTCCTGAAACTGAACTCCCTAGGCAGATGAGAAAAGGAAAAATAGAAATTTATTAACTTGGGAGAAAGACTAAATGGTAAGCTTGTGTGTACATGGATAAATCCAAGCACATGATAAGATTTCATGTTCTGCCCAAGACTGAATCTATTCTGTGCTTGAGGACTTGGACTTAAGTGCAATCCCCTACCATTTACTGACCGTCTGCTACGTACTGGACTTGGGGCTATAGAGGTGGATGGAACACAGCCCCTTTGTTCAAGGTATTCATTGACAAGGAAGGAACTTGGAAATGTTTGGTTTTGCTTTAAAAGGGAAGAGCACTTTAGTTGCTGTAACAACCGCATTTTGTCCCCCAAACCATGAAGTGATTCTCAAACTTATCTCTAAAGGCATTTGCAGCCATGAAGATGCACAGGGAGAAGGAAGGACTCTGGGCCCTGATCTTATAGCAGGAGGGTACATTCTGCTTGGCAGCATATTTTATACTTACACGCGTAGTGGAAAGCCATGGTGCAGAGGGAGGCATGACTGGCCTTAGCTCTTCTCTGGGTCATGAGAGAAGACAAGGTGGGGAGATCACAGAGAAGGTCACAGAGAAGGTGGGGAGATACTTGTAAGGACAAAGCAATTCCTTCTCCCAACCTCTCGAGCTTTCATGTTTTGTTGCAGGGAAAATTGGGTTAATATTATGTCAAGGAGAGCCTTGAGAGAAGAAACAGGAGGGCCGTTGAAGCACGAGAGTTGTATACCATGTGTTCGAGGCTGGAAGGGCAGCTGGCTTTAATTTGCCCTGTGCTGGTGAGCTGCTTAAATTTCTTCACAACAGCTACTGGAGCCCTCTTCCCGCTCCCTTCCCATTGGTTTTCTCTCTGGACCCCCAGCCTCTGTAGTTCACTGTAACTGGAGCTCATGGCTCTAATTCTTCACCCTTTCCGCTTCCCCCACCATTGACATAGATACAAGGGAGCAGTAATTGATTGTACTGGTTGAACTCCTTTGAGAGAATTTCCAGAGTATATACAATTCCTTTAAAAACTACTTAGCCACTAAATAATGGTCTAAGGTTATCTCCTTGTTTCTACAGTTCAGTGGGAAAATGATCAGTTGTATTGTTTTTGCTAAAGAAAATCCCTTAGGATGGAAGGTTACGTGTAATAATTCAAGCATATATGTAATATATTGCATTTGAACTTCCTTTCCTATTCTCAGACTTCACCACTACATCAGCAATATGACATGCTTTGGGGTTGTTGTTTATTAAGTGGATCATCTAAAAGTTGTTAGAACAAGTACTTCTTTAAACTAGTTCTGTCTTTCCCTGAGTTCTGTATCTACCCATGCTATAGATGGGTAGATAAAGAGCATGTCTTTTCATTAATGCTCTCTAAATATTCTTGTTCATGTGTCACTGGAGATATTGTTAAAACACAGATCCCCTGTAGTAGGTCTAGATTGGAGCGCAAAGTTCTGCATTTCTCAAGTCTCCCTGCTGGTGAGTGCTGCCAGTTCATTGACCAGTGGTGAGACTGTATGTCACTTTGAAAATCAAAATATATACTCAAGCCTATACTCTTGCTACTTTCAAAGAATATGTCTTCATGTCTGTTTCCATAGAATTTTTTTTAAAGAATAACAGGCAAAAATTAAATGTCAAACTTGATTTCTAATTGACCACAAATGTTACAGTATTTTACTTAGTAAAATATATAGAAAATGATTTATCTTAAAAATATTGTCTACATCAAGTGCGGAAAGGAATATGGGTGTATCATGTACCATTCTTATCTGTCAGGGAGCTCCATTTGCTAAGATTAGAACAAAGATGACATTTCATTCATGGTTAACAAGAATTTGGCAATTTCTTCCTTTGGTCAAATCTGAGAAAGTCTTAAGAATATTCTATGTTAAATTCAGATAAAGGGTGACTGTATGGACTGAAGATTTTGGTAAACTTGAGCTGAAAAATGGCACCTGGATCTTCAATTTCTTGTTCTGAACTCTTTTTTTTTTTTTTTTTTTTTTTGAGCTTATTACATAAGACATCCTCCCCTGGCTATAGACTTCCAATTTCTCTTCAGTTGTCACCGTCGGCATCGAGAGAGGGGTGGAGGATTGGTGTAAATGAGAGAGTCACATAAATTGTCTAATTGAGCATGCCAAGTGATTTTTGTGAGGCTCTCCTTGGGTCATAAATTGTTGGTATAGCTATTGTGAAATATAGTGTC